TAGTACAGTTCACTGTCAGTTTGACCCCTGAGAAGGAAGTCTCAGTGGAAGGAAATGTCCACACCAGATTGCCTTGTGGGCATGATTATGGTGTCTTAGTTGTTAATTGATTTAGGAGGGCCCAGCCCATCGTGGGTAACACCATTCCCTAGGCTGGTGGTCCTGGGTCCTAGTATGAAGGCTTGGTCCCAGCAGCATCCTTCATGGTTCCTGCTTCAGATTCCTGCTTGAGTTCCTGCCCTGACTTCCTTCAACAAGGGTTGTGATCTGGAGTGTTAGTGGACTCCTACACTTTCTCCTCTCCATCACCTCTGGTCAGGGTGTCTTTTCACAGCCTCAGGTAGGAAACTGGGACACATGACAACTGACTCAAGGTTGATGCTAAAGCAGCTGAAAGCACAGCTCAGCTCCAATACTCAACAATACCACGTTGTGTTTGAAGAGGTTGAATCACACACAAGGAATCAAAAGACAAGAGGAAGCTTTTAGAAGGTGTGGCTATGTATTTGTGGGGTAGGCTGTGGCGATGGTTGGTCTCTTCCTTCCGACTCTTCAGGTTATATATAAGTGTATATAGCTTTTATTGTTGCTCAGAGTTTCATGATGTTGCTTAGACTGGCCTTGAACTCCTGGGCTCCTGTAATTATGCTATATCAGCTTCCTGAGATTATAAATGTCTATATCACTGTATGGCCTCAGGTAAACTGCTTCAGTGGGTGTACCCATCATAGTCTTGACTGCTTTGCTCATATTCTCGCTCCTCCCTCTCTTCAAGTGGAGTTTGGGAGCTCAGTCCAGTGCTCCACTGCGGGGCTCTACCTCTGTTTCCATCAGTTGCTGGATGAACTATGGTGACATTCAAGATATTCATATGGTCTTGACCATAGGGCAAGGCCAGTTCCGGCACCCTCTCCTCTATTGCTTAGGTCTTAGCTGGGGTCATCCTTGTAGATTCCTGGGAATTTCTCTAGTGCCAGGTTTCTTGCTAGTCCCATAATGGCTCCCTCAATTAAAATTCCTCTTTCCTTGCTCTCATTTCTGCCCTTCCTCCATCTCCACTCTCCTGTTCCTTCAAGTTCTCCTCCCCCTCCCCTTCTCCCTTCCTCTTCCCCTTTTCTCTCTCTACTCCCCCTACCCCCATGCTCCCAATTTTGTCTGGCAAATTTGTATCTTTCCCCTTTCCAGGTGGATCTATGTATGTTTTTCTTAGGGTTCACCTTGTTACTTATCTTCTTTAGGATTATGAACTATGGGCTCAATATCCTTTGCGTTACAGCTTTTATGAGTGAGTACATACCACCTTTGCCTTTCTGGGTCTGGGTTACCAGTCAGGATAGGATCTAATAGTTCCATCCATTTGCATGCAAAATTCAAGATGTCATTATTTTTTCAGCTCTGAGAACTCCTCTAATGTGTAAATGTGCCACATTTTCTTTACCCATTCTTCAGTTGAGAGGCATCTAGAGCTCACCAACTCCAGCTGGATAGGGAAGGAACCAGCATAGGCCCAAATTAGTTCCTCTGAATGTGGGTGACAGTTGCATTGCTGGGGTAGACTGAGGGGCCACAGGCAGTGGCACCAGGATTTTTCCCTACTGCTTGTACTGGCTTTTTGGGAACCTGTTCTTTTTGGATGTATACCTTGCTCAGCCTAGAAATAGTCGGGAGGGCCTTGGACCTTCCACAAAGCAATGTGCCTTACCCTCTCTGAGGATTGGATGGGGGTGGGGTGGGAGGGTGTGTAGATGGAATGGGAGTGGGAACTAGGATTGGTATGTAAAATGGGGAAAGATAGTTTGTTTTCCTTTTTAAAAAAATTTTAAAAGTGAAGAAAAGAAGATGTACAGCCTCTTTAAAAAGATTTTATGGGGTCTGGGACACCACAAGAACATGATTCACAGAATCAATCGTCTGGGACTCGTTGGGGTTTGGAGAAATCAGGGAGCCCATAGGGGTCTGACCTAGGTCTTCTGCATATATTATGGCTGAGTAGCTTGGTGTTCTTTTGGGACTCCTAACGTTGGGAGCAGGGGCTGTCTCTGACTCTTGTCTGCTTTCGTGCTTTCGGGACCCCTTCCTCCTACTGGGTTGTCTCATCCAGCTTTAATATGAGAGGATGTGCCTACTCTTACCGTAACTTGATATGCCATGCTTGGTTGCTATCCCCGTGTAGCCTGACTTCTTCTGAAGGGAAACAGAGAAGTGGATCTGGGAAGGAGGGAGAGAGGCTGGGGGGTGAAGGAGGGGAGGGGAAACAGATCAGGATGTAATATACGAGAGAAGAAAATTTTAAAAATATTTTGCTTATTTGTTTGTTTTTTGAGACAGGGTTTCTCTAGGTAACAGCTATCCTGAAACTTGCTTTGTAGACCAGGCTGGCCTTGAACTTGGAGAAATCCACCTGCTTTTCCCTCCTGAGTGCTGGGATAAAGGCATGCTCCCCCACCCCGCCAAATTTTATTTTTTATTATTTGATTTTTTTTGTTTTGGGATTTTGTTGTTGTTGTTGTCTTGTTTTGTTTTGTTTTGTTTTGTTTTGTTTTGTTTTGTTTTTTGAGACAGGCTTTCTCTGTGTAGCTTTGGAATCTGTCCTGGACCTTGCTCTGTAGACCAGGCTGGCCTTGAACTCACAGAGATCTGTCTGCCTCCCCAGTGCTGGGATTAAAGATGTGCGCCACTGTGGCCTGGCTATTTTTTATTATTTGTATGTGTGTGTTCATGAGTATAGATTTGGGCACGTAAGTACAGTGCTTGAGGAAGTCAGAAGAAGCCTAAGATCCCCTGGAGTTACACAAGGCAAAATGGAGGCTGAGACTGGAACTCACGTCTTCTACAAGAACAATAGGTCGTCTTAAGCACTGAGCTATCTCCAGCTCACCCGCACTCCTTTTTTGAGATGGGGTCCTATGTAGACCAAGCTGTTTTCAAATTTGCTGTGTAACTGAGGATGGCCTTAAACTTCCCATCCTCTTGCCCTCCCCTTCTGAGAGCTGAGGTCACAGCTGTGAGCCCTCACACCCGGTTCAGGAGGAACCTGAGGCTTCATGTGCGAGGCCAGCACTCCATCAACTGAGCTCTAGCCCCAACGCTGTGCCAGTGTCAGACATATTTCAGGGAAAGGGCTAGAAAGAGCAGCTGAAATGTGTTGTTTATGTATTGCTTTGCTTGTTTTGGTGAAACTAGGCAGGGCTTCTGGACACGCAGCCGAGACGTTGAGATGGCTGGTGGCCTGTGTTGGTGAAGTCCTGCGGCTGACCAGAGCTCCATCCTCTCTGAGGTTCCCCGGGAGGCAGCAGCAGTCTTCCCACCTGACCTAGCTCCAGATTCATCTGGGTTGCTCTAATGCATTCTCTGGCCCTGTTCCACGCTCTCCGGCTCCACTTCCTGGGCCATTGCTCCTGGCTGCTCTTGTGTGGTGCCGCCCACCCTCTGGCACTCCAATCTGTGGCTGTCCTTTCAGACCCGTCCACTCCCTGGCATCCTACTGTGAGCTCAGTCCATCTGGGCTTCAAGGCGCTGTTGTGCGGACCAAATGCTCGGCTCGCATGGCCAAACTGCATAGAGTCTTCCTCCCTGTAGGAACTATTCATTTGCACTCAGGAAGTAGAACCCAGGTCACCCTGGAGCCCTTCCCCCTTGTTTAGAGTTTGCAGCCAACAGGTCGCTTACAGTAGCATTTGCCAAGTGTCTCCAAAATGGCTCCCGCCTGCTCTCGTTTTCAGACCATTAGGACAGGCTCCTGCCCTCTGTCTCACATGATTCTATGCAGACCTGTGGTCACACTTTTGCAAGAGCGGTCTGTGCCTGCTAGAGTCCATTACTGTGCGCAGCAGACCTTGGATAACCTGACCCCACACTGTCTCCGGTGCAGTCACCTCTGCCCATTCCCTAGGGCCCTCCCATCCTCACCTGCACTCCAGGGGGACAAACCCACCAGAGTCTCTGCAGCCGGCACACCTGCCTGCCTTGCCCTTAGAGCAGAAACACCCAAGGCGAACGAGGCACTGCAAGGTGCGCTTTACCCCACTCAGTTTTGGTTCCCTGGATCCAACCACTGTTTGCGACACATAGTGTAGCAAAGTCCACACCGAACTGTTTTAATCATTTGAAAAACGCCAAATTTCATAACCCTTCCCCTACCACCTCCTCTCTCCAAATTTAAGCAGCTGGTTTGTCCTTTAAAAAAAAAGAAGCTGGGTGTGGTGGCACACTTCTTTAGTTGCAGCACTCCTGAGGCAGAGGCAGGTGGATTTCTGTGAGTTTCAGGCCAGCCAGGGTTATATAGTGAGACCCTGTCCCAACATAAAAGGAGAGGGCAAAGCTGGAGAGACGGCTCAGCTGTTAAAGGCACTGGCTGCGTTTCCAGAGGACCAGGCTTTGATTCCCATCACACATATGGCAGTTCACAACTGCCTGTAACTCCGGATTCAGGGACATGGTACACTTACATGCACACAGGCAAAGCACCCATATACATTTAAAAAAATAAGAATTTATTTTTTTATTTATTGTGTATTGTATACGAAGGTGTTTCAGTTATCTAGAAGGGGTTTCTGATCCCCAGGAGCTAGAGTTTTGCCTGTGGGTGTTGGGAACCATACTCTGGCCCTCTACAAGAGCAGCAAGTGCTCTTAACTACTGAGCCATCTCTTCTGCTTGCGTGCGTGTGTGTGTGCATGTGTGCATGTGTGTGTGTGTTTTTCCTGTCAGCTTTTGGTATCGAGACATTTTCCTTTGCAATGGAGCATTAATTATATATAGAAGCTGTGTGTCTAAAGGGGAGAGAGAGCAGGGATGAATGGGTTGCAGATCCTAACTCAGGACCATGCTAAACCAAATTTGGTAATGTTGATGCAACGCTCTCAGCAGAAAAGCCCCCAGTGTCATCATGGAAAATGTTCGCGCTGCTTTCCTGGATAGGTGAATGATGAAGAGGGTTGCTCCCTGGAGCTGGTGGCTGGAAAGAGACAATAAACTCCTCTCTTTCTCTCTTCAAACAGGATCAGTTTGACAACTTAGAAAAACATACACAGTGGGGAATCGACATTCTTGAAAAGTACATCAAGTTTGTCAAGGAGAGGACTGACATTGAGCTCAGCTATGCCAAGCAGCTCAGGTAAGGTTGCGGCTGTGGCCCTGCAAATACGAGAAAGAAAGGCTCATTTCTCTTTTTTATTAATTTTTTTTGTTACATTTATTTATTTGTAGGGCAGGGGAATGTATGTGCCAAGCACTTGTGTGGCAGTCAGAGCACAAGGAGTTGGTTTTCTCTCCTTCTGTAGTGTGGGTCCCGGGGATTGAACTCAGATCTTCAGGCTTGGTGGCAAGCCCTTTTACCCCTCCTCCCTAACATATGCTGCTTGCCAGCCAGATGCAAGCTTGATTTCTATTCTCATTTCACAGTGCGTGTGTGTAACCTTTTCTTCTAAAGTAATGTGTCACTGGAAATAATTGTTTTTTTAGTATAGAAATTGATTTTTCATAAGACAGTAAAAATAAAGAATGAAGCTTGTACTTGAGTTTGTTCAATTTTTCTGTTTGTGGCAAGGTCTCTGTAACCCAGGCTAGCCTTGCATTCACTATATAGTGGGGGCTGGCCTGAGCTCCTGCTCCTCCTGTGTCCACCTCCTGAGAGCTGGGATTGCAGGTGTGTGCCCACAATCCTGTTTCGTTGTGTTTTCTTTTGCTCTGTGTTATTCTGGTTTGTTTCGCAATGCTTCCTGTTCAAGTGGGGGTCTTGGGCCTCTAGGTAAACCCCCACTTTTACCCTATCCCTCACCTGTCACCCTGTCCTCTGCACCTGACCTCTAGGCCTGCCTGGGTCTTTGTTTTCTTTTAATGAATTTTAGAGAAGTTTGGCTATCAGTAAACTTCATATTGGAATATACACGTGCACAGAGAAGCACAGGATCCCACATGAAAGGCTCCCGACTAGCCCTGACTTGCCATCACTGGCGTGGATCAGTAGCACCTGCCTTGAGTTTCCTGTAGATGTGCACATTGGCTCTGATCCTTGAAAAATCAGACTTTGCAGGCGGGAGGTGCTCGCCTTTAATTCCAGCACTCGGAGGCAGAGGCAGGCAGATCTCTGTGAGTTGGGGCCAGCCTGGTCTACAGAGTGAGTTCCAGGTCAGCGAGGGCTACACAGAGTAACCCTGCCCCCCAAACAAACAAACACAAAAACTCTGACTTCCTTTGCCCCGCACTGGCTGGGAGGTTTGCTGCCCTGCGGTCATTTGCTTGTATTTCCCTGCTCCTTGTTTTCCTGAGAGGGCTTCCACTCTCTTGCCACTCATCAGCTGGTTGTTTCCGCTCATGCTGGGCTCCATTTTTGCTATTAAATTTTAATTACATTATTTGTTTATTGTGTATGTATGGAGAAGGTGGACATACCACTGCCAGCATCCTGTGAGGTCAGAGGACAACTTTGTGTTCTCTTCACCACGTGGGCTTCTGGGGTTGAACTCAAACCACAGACTTGGCACCAATGCCTTGGCCTGCTGAGCCCCCTCCCCAGCCCTCACAGGCCACTGGTGCACGTCGGGACTGTTTTCTTCGTTAGTGCAGGATTGGACTGGGGCTCACAGAGTGTACCTCTGCCTGGCTTTAGCAGTACTTGAACTAGCAGACATTCTCACTATTTCACTCTCCAGCAGGTGTGTGGGGTCCCAGGGAGCAGATCTGGCAAGAACTGTGATGGGGGTTTTAGGGTTGAAACCCAGGCTCGGGCATCTCCCACAAGCTAGTCTCGGTCGCTTATCCCAACACACCCATTAGAGTCGAGTGGGCCTGAAAGGCAGAGAAAGGATCTTTACTCAGTGTGGCCACACTGGGGAGAGGAACAGGGAGGTCCAGTGACCTCCAAGTCAGACTATGGGTCCTGGCGGCCCGGCGTTTAAATGGAAAGCAGGAATGCACAGGGTGAGCAGTCCTGATCCATCACCGCTCCGTTCATGTCGATGTCCTAGCTCTAGTGTGTCCTACGAGGTGGTCTGATAAGTTGTCAGAAGTTTGTGACATCTCAGTACCAGTCTTCATCCTATTCGTGAGTGTGGATGTGTGAGTGTGTGCATCTGGGAGTGTGTATGTGTGTGCGAATGTGTATAAAAGTGTGTGTGCATATAGGAGTGTTTGCGGGAGTGTATGTTTGTGTGTATGAATGTGTGTAAGGAGTGTGTGTGTGTACATGTGCAGGACTCCATGTGTGTTTGCACATGTGTGTGTATGCATGCATGAAGTGTGTACACGTGTATAAGAATACGCATGCCACAGCACAAATGTAGAGGTCAGAGACATCTCTGTGGAGCCAGTTCTCCCTTCCATTCTTATTTGCATGTTCCAGGGTTCAAACTCAGGCCACCAGGCTTACGCAGCAAACTTCTTTACCCACTGAACCATCTTGTTGGCCTGGATCAACCCAACTTTAGCTTTTCTCTTGCTCCAGAATGAAATTCCTTGGGAAATTTTAGTTGGAGGCCACTGTTAGAAAAGAATAATAGCACAAGTTATCCCCTCTCCTTCTGGGGAGCTGTGAGCTTTCCTAAACCTTTTGATTTATCTGGGAAATTTGTTTGGGATATAAAATTTTTTCAAGTTGTCACTAAAGGGCTTGGGACGTGGCTGGTACAGGGCTTGCCTAGCAAACACGGAGCACGCGTGGTTCTGTCTCCAGCATGATGTGAATGGGTATGGTACTGCAGGCACTCGGTGCTGCAGGTAGGTACTCGGTGGTGCAGGTAGACAGACCAGGAGTTCAAGGTCATCCTCCACCATTACAATCCAGGTTGCCACAAGGCTATCATTTTTGCTTAAATAAGCATCTCAGTGCTGGCTGTGGAAAACTCCTGGCACGACACATTCTGTTTACACTGAGAAGCTGGAATGCAGAAACCTAGAAAGTGTGTTTTCTACTGGCTGAACCCAGGCCAGGTTCTAGAACCCCACAGAGGTCTGGGTCTTACTACCAAATGACTGCTTCACGTTGGTTAGTCCTGATAGGTTGTCATTCGTGTGAAAATGGGTTACACTGCCTGGCTAAGCACTTGAGAGGCAGAAGCAGGCGGATCTCTGTGAGTTTGAGTCTAGTGGATAACTGACCCCGTGTCTTCAGGGAGGGAGGGAAGGAGGAAAAGGCAGAGAGAATGTGTACACCACAGCTTAGTCGTGGGTCTTCCCTCGGGGACGCTCAGTTTCGTGTCTTCATTTCTCTTTGGTTTCTTCCTGGTGCCTCAGTCCTTTTCACCGTGTGCTGTGGAGGTCCATCTGCAGCTTTCGTGGACATGGAAATGGCCCTTTGTCCTCCCTGGAAGCATCTTCCTTCCCTGGAGACCAGATGACAGTCTCTTGGGTTCCTCCCACGTCACTGATACTTATCCTAGCTCTTAAAGCAGCTGTGTGCAGCATCCAGTTCCTGTTTCTCTCGCCCCAGTCTGTGCTCTCTCCTTGACCCCCAACTATTAGGCTTTAGCACCTATGGGTGTAGCAATCACTCCCTCCCAACCGTGTCTCTCCAAGCTGTTTCCATCTCTCCCAGACTCCGGAAGTGGATTATGGAAGCTCCCTGAGATTTCTGACCAATGCCTGCATCCACACATGTCTGAAAGCACTGGCTCAGGTTCCACCCGTCCACCTCTCCTGTGACTGTGTGCCTCCCCCCTCCCCCCCAGCTTAGGGCAGATGTTCGAGAGTCCTGTTAGCGTCCTCTCACCTCCCTCACCAGGTCATCAGGACAGACCGACCATCTACTCTACTCCCCATTCTGACACAGGATCTGGACCCTGCTTGTTGGCACCATGCTACCCCTGGGTCGCCATTGTCTCTTGCCTGAATCGTTACCCATTGAGTCGCCTTGCTGTTCCCTGTCTGCTGGCTTCCTACGAAGCAGTCACATTAGTTCCTCAGCAGTTCCCCATTTCTTTCTAAGTCTCCAAAGTTCTTCCGACAAATGCCTAAAAGCCTTGCTTGCCTGGGCTCTCCTCTGGCCATGCCATTTTCCTTTTTAAACTTGGTGGATGCCTGCATGGCCTTGGTGGGAAAGGTGGGGCCAGTCAGAGCACCTTCCTTGTGGAAAACTTGACCTTTTCTGAATCAGTCCATGCACTGTGACCATGAGTCCAAGCTCTGCCTGGATGCTGGGCATGCTGTCCAGTTATGTTCCTGTTTGGGCGCTGTGGTTACCTGGCTCCTTTCTTGTGGAATTTGATAAAGCCCGGTGTGTTTATTCATTCACCACTAGTGTGTTTTTGCCCAAAGGTCCTTTCCCGAGTCCGGCATTGCTCTTCCCGTTTCGCTCGGCTCTGCCAGCTCCATCCCCTCTATTGCTGTGCAGGTTTGTGTTTCAGGTTTGTCATTAGCGTGAAATGCTCCAGGGAGGGGGCGAGTTGCTTGTTTCTCTGGTGTGCTTTTCATTTTCCTCCAGCTTGGGTTTCCTCCTCTTTCCTCCTTCCTTTCTCCTTCCTTCAGTGCCTGACCAATCTTTTCCCGGTGGGTCTGCTTGACCTAGAGAGTTTGGCCAAGTGGCCGAGCTCATCTTCTAGGCCCTAGTGCTGGGGAGGCAGTCCTGTGTTTGCTTCACAGAATTTGATTTGGGGCACATCATTCTCTGGGATTCGTCTCTTTCAACTGTAAAACCTTAATAGTGAGAAGTTCCGCCTTCTGAAGGGGTTGAGTGACTTTTCTCATCGCTGTGACCTATAGGAAGGAAGGGTTTGTTTGTGCTCGCAGTTTAGAGGGACACAGTCCGTCATGGTGGCGGAGCTTGATGCAGCTGGTTACAGTGTGGCTGCAGTCAGGAAGCAAAGAGGCGAATGCTGGTGCCAGAGTCCCTTTTCCTTCAGTCTGGGCCCCCAGCCCATGGCATGGTACTGCCCACATGCAGAGTGCCTCTTCCCTCCTCCGTTAAACCCCTCTGGAAGTGCCCTCCCAGACGCACTCAGGGGTGTACTTACTCCATGGGGACTCTACCTCAGGTCATGCTGACCATGAGGATAACCTGCCACAAGGACTGAAGGAGATGAGGTTGAGCATCTTTCAACTGACTCCCAGCACACCCATCTTATGCTGATGGCCCTGGAAGTGACTGCCCCTTAGGTTTTTTATTTAGATGCTGAAGCTGAAGGGTTTCTCCGAGAGATGGCTGGGGAAGGGGTCCGACCTAGGGATTCTGAGTTATTGTCTGTCCTGAAACTCCTTGGCTGTGGACTGAGTCGTTCAGGAGAAGTGGCCTTGCTCCTGTGGAATCCCTAGGTTTATGAGGCTTCTGCATGCCTGCAGCTTGAGGCCTGAGGAGTGGAGACCAGAGGCTAGCCCACAGATGGGAAGGGGCAGCATGGGTATTGTCAGGGCAGCTCCCCTGTCCCTAAGTGTGTCCTCCCTGTTTGAACTGACTCAGAGCTGTGGCCTTACTTCCCTTCTTGTGGTCAGGTGGGTGGAATCAGCACCTGTTCTAAGCTGCCTCCAAATCATGCATCTCTGTTTTCAGGTGCCCCTTTCCAAAGTGTGTGGACTGAGGGTAGGCATCTTGCTGCAGCTCTTCATTGTCTAATAATGCAAACCTTCCCCACTCCCCCGTCTGTCTGTCTCTCTCTCTGTCTCTCTGTACCACTGAACTACATCCTGGTGTGTGTGTGTGTGTGTGTGTGTGTGTGTGTGTGTGTGTGTGTGTGTGTGTTTCATGACAGGATTTCTCTGTGTAGCTTTGGAGCCTGTCCTGAAACTCTCTCTGTAGACCAAGCTGGCCTCGAACTCACAGAGATCTGTCTGTCTCTGCCTCCTGAGTACTGAGATAACAGGTATCCACCACCACCACTTGGCCATTTTATATTTTATATTTGAGACATAAAAGCCCTGGATATCTTTGAACTGACTCCACAGTCCAGTCAGGCCTTGAATTTAGGATCCACTTTCCTAGACTTCCTAAGTAACTGGGATTACCAGTCAATGCCTCCAGCCAGGGTCTTGGTCACCTTCTATGCAGTCCCTTTCCTTTGCTGGGAAAGCACCCTTCTCCTGCCACCGTCATCCAGATATCTTGTGGTTCAGAGAAATAAAAGGAAGAACAGCCCCAAACATTCCTGGGCTCCACCCTGGCCGTCTTGGTTCAGAGCACCTGGAAAGGGGCCCAAAGATCCGCTTTGAAAGTCTCCCGTGGTTCCTAGCATTGGCTGGGCCTCAGCCAGCAGCCTCATGAACTCCTAGTCTCCTCTTCCCTTCTCGTTAGTCTTCCCAAAGAGCTGGTTTCATACAGGATGCACACCCGTTCCTCAGCGGAGCCCACCAATGTGAAAGTGATGTTTTAAGGGCTTCCCTGCATGCTTGTTTTTGTTTAAGAAACAAAACAAACAAACAAAAAGCTTAATACAAGGCCAGGAAGCCTGTCCCTAGTCAAGGGGTTGGGAAGGGTTTATAGAGAAAAGAACCTGGAACTTGGAGCTTTGGAGCTGCCTCAGTGGGTAAGAATGCATATTGGTCAAGCATGAGGTTGTGAGTTCAAATCCCCAGAACCCACAAAAATAGCTGGGCATGGCCTTATATGTCTATAGTTTCAGAGCTGCAAGGTGTGGAGACTTTACGGTCATTGAGACTTGCTGACTGCCAGCTTGGTTCCAGCTTCTGTCTCAGGGAAACAAGGCAGAGAGAGGGAGCTCAGGACCCTGGCTGCTTTGTGTGTATGGATGCTTGGATGCGAATATACCACACATCACACACACTTTGCAAAAAAGTTGGGGGCGGGCATGGTGGTGCATGCTTTTAGTCCCAGCATTCAGAAGGCAAAGGCAGGTGGATCTCTGTGAGTTCGAGACCAGCTTGGTCTGCATAAAGTGTTCCAGGCCAGCCAGGGCTACATAGGGTCTCAACAGAATACCACTCATGACAGATCTTTCTCCTTACTTGGGAACTGATGGTAAACGGGGAGTCTCACGCCTGTGGGTGCACACGATGGCACACATTCTTAGTTCTAGCAATCTGGAGGCAGAAGTAGGCAAATCTGTGAGTCTGAGGCCCTCCTGGCTATATATTGAATCCTGGGGAAAATAGTACCCTTTTTAGTGGGCTTGATGGCCCGGGCTGTCATCCCAGTACTCAGGAGCCTGAGACAGGAGAATCATCACAAATTCAAGGCCAGCCTGGACTACAAAACTTATTTGTTTGTTTAAATTTTTATTTGTTTGTTTATTGTGGGGAGGGCAGCTACAGAGCACATGTAGAGGTCAGAGGTCAACCTGTGAGAATCAGTTCTCTCCTTCCACAGGGCAGGTGCTGGGTACCAAACTCATGTCATCAGACCTTGTGGCCAGTGAGCCCTTTTGCTGGTCCTTAGGAGCAGCCCTTGCGCATGTAGTAGATTCAGCTTCCCTCAGTTTCATGTAGCATGGAAATTATTTTTGTGGCTGTGCAGGTCTGGAAGCTAAAAAGAGAATGTGGATTTAAAGAAGTGACTTTGTTTAACTTCACAGTTTTGGGAATTTTTATGTGAGGTGTTTTAAGTTTGTAAGTTATGGCTAACAAAGGAACGGTTACTATTTCAAACTGCACTAAAAATACCTGGAGGGTAGTCATGGGACTCTTCAGGGCGCCCAGCTCCCACACACAAAAGAACCCACGTTCACCCTGACCACTCTGATTATCCCCTCCGAGCTGGCTCTGCAGTGACCTTGTCCCCTCCAGCCTGGCTCTGCAATGACTTTGTCCCCTCCACCTTGGCTCTGCAGTGACTTTGTCCCCTCTGAGCTGGCTCTGCAGGGACTTTGTCCCATCCAGCCTGGCTCTGCAATGACTTTGTCCCCTCCACCTTGGCTCTGCAGTGACTTTGTCCCCCAGCTGGCTCCTCAGTGACTTAGTCTTACTACATGCATCTGAGAGGATCTCTCCTTATGAAGTGCTTCTCCTCCCTTCTCCCCCTCCAATACGCACCCTTACAGAAAATCTGTGTGTATTAATCTGCTACATACTCACATGTCTATAGAAGAACAGTCTATGTGTGTAGGTGTATGTACAAATCACAGAGGTGAGTCTCCTGTCATCTGTTGGACTGGCAGTTTTTAAATATTTTTTATTATCGTGTATGATGTGTGTGTGAGGGGGTGTTGCCGTGGCACGCGGAGGTCAGAGGGCAGCTCTGTGGAGTCGGTTCTCTTCCACCATGTGGGTCCTGGGGATCAAACTCAGGCCATCAGCCTTGGTGCCCAGCTGCCTTTACCCCTGAGCCATCTTGCTGGCCCCACAAATTTTTGTTGTTGTTGTTTTGTTTTTTGAAACAGGGTTTCTCTGTAGCTTTGGGGCCTGTCCTGGAATTCATTTTGTAGACCAGGCTGGCCTCGAACTCACAGAGATCTTCCTGTCTCTGCCTCCCGAGTGCTGGGATTAAAGCCGTGTGCCACCACCGCCTGGCCACAAATGGATTTTAATTGCGTAAGTTTTGGAATTTTTAATTTTTAATAAACTAGGAAAGCACACAGGTCTTCTTTCATTCCTGACTTCTCTGTGTGTTTCCTAAGAAGGTGACAAATCTGTATTTTTGTCTTAGGAATCTTTCAAAGAAGTACCAACCCAAGAAGAACTCAAAGGAAGAAGAAGAATACAAGTATGTCCGCTGCTGGCGGATGTGTGGTGAGATGTGTGTGCTTGGTGCTGGTCGTGGGGGAGGGGCGGGAAGTGCGTGCTCACGAAGTCCCAGCCCACCTTCCCGTCTGTGCCATTTTTCAACTTTCCGGCGACAGTGAGAACACTTCCTTTACCTCCCTGGCCCTGAGCCACTCTACCCGCTCCAGACAGGTTCCATTGAAGTGAATAAAGAGAGTTTCAGGAGGCCCTGCAAGCCTGGACAGGCAGCCTGGGGTATAAGCCTCTGAGGAGGGGCTCAACCTTCTTAATCCTGCGACCCTTCAGTACAGTTCCAGATGTTGTGGTGACCCCAGCCATAAAATTATTTTCATTGCTACTTCATCACTGTGATTTTGCTTCCTGCGTGAATCATAACATAAACATCTGATGTGCAGTTACTGTGAAAGGGGTTCGGACCCACAGGTTGAGAACCATTGTCCTAGCTTCGGCTACTCTGTCCTGTAGAGTCAGAAGCCTTCATGTTCACCCACTGTGCCTGTCTCAGTCAGCAGTGGTGGGTCATTGTACGTGGTGGAAACAGCGCCTGTGATGTAGGTCCAGGGGCCTGGTGTGTTTAGTAAGCACGGGAGGGTGGGTTTAGGACCATCTCTGGACTCGGAACGAACGGAACCAGATACTGTGCTGCACGGAACACCTGGGGCCGTGTTTGTTATAATTAATTCCGAGCCGTTGTGTAATGAACTGGCAAGCTCCCACGGGAGGCAGGTGCGGAGCAGCCGGATTTTAATTAATCTTTCCTCGTGGACAGTGTGTGAGGAGGGAGGTGGGCTCCTCTGAGGAGAGCCGGTGTGCTCTCTCCTCAGGTACACGGCATGCAAGGCGTTTCTTTCCACCCTGAATGAGATGAACGACTATGCCGGGCAGCATGAGGTCATCTCCGAGAACATGACATCACAGATCACGGTGGACCTGATGCGCTACGTGCAAGAGCTGAAGCAGGAGAGGAAATCGGTAATGTCTTCCCCCAAAAGATGGACGGGGTGTTTTCCCATCAGATAGCCACATGGAGTTGGGGGTGGTGTCTGTACTGTCTGTACTGCTAGTGCTGGGGAAGCAGGGGCAGGAAGTTCTCTGCAAATGTAGTGACCACATGAGTTCCACATCTATAAGACTGCATAGTAAGACCCTGTCTTAAACAAAAGTGGGGTTTGGGGGCAGATGTGTACCGCACACCTTAATCTCAGCACTTGAGCAGTAGAGGGGGCAGGTGGACCTCTGTGAATTCAAGACCAGCCTAGTCTATATAATGAGTTCTAGACCAGCCAGGGTGACATAGTAATACCCTATCTAGAAGAAAAAACAAAAAAACAAAACAGGGGCTGGAGAGAGGGTTCATTGCTTAAGAGCACTAACTGCTCCTTGAAGAGGACCCAGGTTCAGTTCCCAGCACCCACATGGTGGCTCAGAGTCATCTGAAAATCCAGTTCTAAGAGGTCTTCTGACCTCCTTGGGCACAAAGCACAAATGTGGTACACATGTGTACATTCAGGGAAAATGCTCATACACATAAAATATATATAATAAAATTAGAATCAGGTGTGATGGTGTGCATGGAAGGCAGAGGCCAGCAGGTTGGAAATTCAAGGCCAACGTGTGTGCGCGCGCGCGTGTGCATGTGTGTGTCTATTACGTGAGTATACTAATTCATGTCGTGATGTATGTTTAGAGGTCAGAAGACAGCTTGGAGGAGTTGATTTCTTTATTTGCTGAGCTTCTTACCTGAGCCTGTAGTTGTTGTTCCGTCAGTGGAAGCTCACAGGGCCCACTTGTTAGGCCTCTTGTCGCATCCACTTAGCTGGCCTGCATGTCCACAGCTCCAAGACTGAGGAACCAGCCGTGTGTTGGAGCCCTAAGCTTTACAACATTCTCTACTGAACCAGTCATCAAGAAAGGCATTTTGCTTGTTCGTTTGTGATTTTTTAGATAGAGTTTCTTTGTGTTGGTCTGGCTGTACTGGAACTCACTCTGTAGACCAGGCTGGCCTCAAACTCAGACATCCGCCCGCCTCTGCCTCCTGAGTACTGGGATTAAAGGCGCTGTATTTTGTGAAGCCACTGGGAAGCAGTGGACAGAGCCGAGCAGTATAAAGATAAAATAAATACACGGGCTCTGGCGTTGGCCTGGCCTGTTGCCCTGCTTGTGAACTCGCCTGACCTTTGCAAAGCTTTCCATCTTCATCCTGTTTAGGGCTCTGCTGTGCTCTTGCCACTGGCCCTCTCTGCCCACAGTTTAGCACTGTAGCTGGCTCCCCAGACTGAAACTGCTTTTCCCTGCTTAGCAGGTGTCCATTCCGTTGAGTCAGAAAATGGGAAGTGCCGCAAGCCTCACCCCTCCCCCATCCCTCTCCTCCAGCTGTGTAGTTCCTGGCTAGCTACTCTGTACTCTGACCTCAGGGTCTTTGTGCAGGGTTTTCTCCCTCAGAAAGCCTTTGCCACACACCTCAGGGCCTGTTTCTCCCGAATGAAAGTCTCCTTCTCCGAGCAGACTTTCCCATCCACCTCACTTCAATTACCAGGTTCCTCTGGCCTCTCCCACTTCACCTTCCCTTGCTTTGCAATGTTTTGTTTATGTTTCTTGCTTTTTGAGTCAGCAGGGTTTCTGCATGTAACCGCTCTAGCTGTCTGGAACTCACTATATATAGACCAGATGGCCTCACAGATATCTGCTTCCTCGGCCTCTGAGTGCTGGAATTAAAGGTATGGGCCACCATGTCCACAGTTTTGACACGTTTTTTTAAAGAGAGAGACAGAGTCAGAGTTGGTTTGTATGTATACCACATGTGTGCAGAGGTCCCCTGAAGCCAGAGGAAGGAATCTGATCCCCTAGAAACTGGAGCTAACTGGCTGTTGTGAGCTGAGCCACCCGACATGGGTGCTGGGAACTGAACTCAGGCCCTCTGTGAGAGCATCCAGCACTCTTAACTTCTGAGCCATCTCTCCAGTTCCCAGCTTTACTCTTTGCATACTACTTAACAGTATCTAGATTTGGGGGGTGGGGTATCTAGTTGATGGGACCTTGTGCATATGATCACACACATCCCCACTAGCCCCTGCCCCCACAGCAGCATGAGGTGTATGTAATTGCTGCTGTCTTTTCTCCTCCCCCACACGGAAATGTCTGGTCTTCCAGGACAAGGACATCCTTGCCTGCCTCATAGGTCAGCATTGCAGAAGAAGGGTGTGCAGAAGTGCCAGGCAGAGAGAAGAGTAGCAACAGCTGGGAAGTAGTGGGTGTGGCCCAGGGCTGGGAGTGGAGTGCAAAGGAGAGCACTTTCCTTTCACCAGTGAGGAACGGGGTGCGGCTCAGTGGTGCACACTTGTCTCCCCTGTACAGAGCCCCGGCTTCCATCCCTAGTGCATGTGCATACTGCACATGCGCGCATGCACACACAAATACACACACACACATAATGTGTTAATGTCTACTTAGTTCTAAGGGTTTATAGATAAACCCTTCATATGCCTTTGCTACCTTGTAAATGGATAATATTATTTATTCATTGTTAATTATCTTTTTATACACTGTTATTGTTATTCTTAAAAAATGATCCCCGGGCGGGTTGGCGGAGCCCGCCATGAGAAAGCGGCTACAGGAGGGCACGCGCCGCGCCCACGGTGGCAGCAGGTAGCAGACACGTAAACACAGGAAATAGCCATAAGTATTTATTAAGGAAGAGGGAGAAAGAAAGAAAGAAAGAAAGAAAGAAAGAAAGAAAGAAAGAAAGAAAGAAAGAAGAGATAAAAGGAGAGAAAAGAGATAAAAGAAGAGAGAGACAGAGGAAACGCGTGCGCATGCCAAGGAAGCAGAATGAGGAAGGGTCCCAAGATGGCGACGGGCAGGTCAGAGGTAATGGGAGTGGGCGTGACTAGGGCAGGGACCGAAAGAATAACAGTTATATTATCTCTTAAATCATGTTCCTTAAAAAGTTTTTTGTTGTTGTTGTTTAAGATTTATTTATTTTAAGAAGACGTTGGTGACACACACCTTTAATTCCATAATTTGGGAGTTAGAGGCAGGTGATCTCTCAAGTTTGAGGCCAGCCTAGTCTACAGAGCAAGTTCCAGGATAGCCAGTACTATACAGAAAAAACCCTATCTCAAAAAAAAAAAAAAAGACTTTTTTATTTTATGTGTATGAGTATTTTACCTGTCTGTGTTTATGTACCTGGTCCCCAAAGTGGTCCAAAGAGGGTATGGGATCCCCTGGAACGGAAGTCACAGACTGAGCTACCACTTGGGTGCTGGGAACTGAACCTGTCTCCTCTGTGAGAGCAGCCAGTGCTGTTACCCACTGAAGCCTCCTTTTGTTTTCAAGGAGTGTCCCCAGTCTCTAGTCCAGGCCTGGCAGTCATACGGTCTGTCAGGAGGATCTGCAAACACAACTCTTATTTGTTGAAGCCGGCTGCAGTTAAATTAGACTGACATTTAAGTACGTTGCGAAATCTCAAGAAATACTGGAAAGAGTGTCTGTCAGCAAATACATATTTGTGGTGTTTTCGTATGTGGTGTTGTGATGTCATCTCTTCTTTCCTATATCTTAGCCACCATTCTTCTGAAGGAATGCATAACTCCTTGTGGTCACACAGGCCCTTAATCCCAGCATTGGAGGGGGGGTTGAGGCAGGAGGATTACAGATTGGAGAATGGAACTGAATACTTAGCAAGACACTGCCTCAAAAAGTGTGTGTGTGTGTGTGTGAGAGAGAGAGAGAGAGAGAGACAGACAGACAGACAGACAGACAGACAGAGACAGAGAGAACCCATGACGGCTCAGTGGATAAGACCTCAGCCCTCAGTCCTGATGTTTGGTCTCCAAGACTCACATTGTGGAAGAAGAGACCGGACTCCTACATGTTGTCCTCTGACCTCCACAAACAGGATGTGCACACACACATGGATACAAAATAAATTTAAAAAATAGAATAAAAAAGGCAGTGCCATGAACTTGCTTGGGAGAGAAAGGAAAGAAGATCATGGACTCAAGATCTTCCTTGGCTGCACAGTGAGTTTGTGGCCAGCTTGGACTGCCAGAGATTCTGGCTCAAAAACAGCGAGGTGTGGTGGTGCACACCTTTAGTCCCAGCACTCGGGAGCCAGAGGCAGGCCAGTCTCTGTGAGTTTTAGGCCAACCTGGTCTACATAGCAAGTTTCAAGGCAGCCAGGTCTAGTCAGTGAGATCAAAAAGTTGAAAGGGTTACATCCGGTTTGTTGATATACTGATGGTTTGGGAGGTTGGTTAGCTCTGCACTCACTTCTAGAGCAGTAACTGACATTGGCTGTGACTTCAGGTTAACCGTCCTCAGTATGAGGTCTGTGATGTTATCCGATGCTCAGGAGCCTGGAGCATAGGGAGGCAGTGCGGGTCTTTGGGGTCACACAAGGTCCAGCTGGGGGAGACACCCAGGCAGCCTGGACCTCAAGGCTAAGCGTGGCTGCCCACATGCTTTGATTTCATTAGTGGTTTTCCTAACTTACCCACAAGGCCACAGATTGCACGGTGCAGCCCCTGCCTGCAGACCTTCTTCTCCGGGTCCCTGAGTTTCCTTAGTGGCACAGGTCAGAGGATATCATTCCCTGGTTTCTGCTATGATCAGAACAAGGCCCCACAGACACTTCAGTCTATCTTAGAAGCTGGATGGCACTGGTTTGCAGGGCTCTGCTGGTGGGAAGACAGCTTCCTGGAGTCTGTTCTCTCCTTCCACTTTATGTAGATACAGGGATTGAAGTAGGGCACCAGGTGTGTGCAGCAGGCATCTTTAACATGCTGGCTGAGCCATCTCAATGTACCGCAGTTTACACCCTCAATTCTCTTAGTTGTTTTCTGTGTGTCCTCTGGAAAACGGATTGTTTTAATAATCAGATCTTTCTGTTCTAGCCATTCATTCATAAATGAATTTATAGCTTCTACTCTGAGGTGTGTGTCCGGCCCAGTTTGTTCATTGCTTAAGTACTT